CACACACACGCGCCTGGCGTGAATTTAAGCCACCGGGTCCGGGACACGAACCGCGGTCGACTATGTGGGAGTCCAGCGACATAGCCATTACACTAACTGCTGGTCTCAATGTTTAAGTTTTCAAGACTTCAAGGCCCACTGTCCTAACTACATAATCATACCAGGTTAATACAGACTCACAATAGACAAGGCTAAACTGAGGTGGCAGCCCAGCAATTTTCAAACTGCAGACTGTGACCCTAGTTTGCATTAAGGGATCACTTTAAAGTGTCACAACAACCAGCATTTTTAAATGACTACTTCAGTGATATTATGCTATGTTTTTGCACAATAAATATATATTCGAGTTCAAAATAAATCATCATGAAGTACTTATAATTTCTTCTGAAGAATCAATGGACTTCATTGAAGATTTGCAAATCTAAAACTGCCACCTCCCTCTCCCTGTGGATTCCCAAGTGCATAACTCACATGGTAGGTACAGCCTCCTTGAAAGACTGCAAAGCCTTCGCCTTCATACAGTCCACGGACTTTTTCTCCTTCGTAGCTACAATGAAATAAAGCTCGAGGTAATGAATGATATGAAAAAGCCTAAATGACAGTGCAGTAAAATATATCACTAAAAAGTAGACTAGAGGGACAGCAGTTAGCATGGTGGCTAAGGCACTGGATCCCACATGGCTGGCTCTGCAGTTCAAGTCCCAGACCTGGTGGCTTGAAAAACACACTGAGTGTGTGTACATGTGTGCCCAAAATCCTGAGAGGAGAACGGAGAAGGCATTACGGCATGGCCATTACCCTAGGGAGTGATTTCTCACTTTCCCTCTCTGTTTTTCTCCAAGCGCATATGCCCGATGGCAAAAACTAAAAACCAACAAACAAAAACAAGTAGAGGTTCTCAGAGGTGTGGGACTGAAGAACAGGTGGTTATTGTTTAATAGATACCGAGTTTCTGTTTGGGATGATGAACAAGTTCTGAAAATGGGTAGTGATGATGGCTGTGCAGCATTGTGAATATACTTACTGTCACTGAATTGCACACTTAGAAATGGTTAAAGTGATAAATTTGTTATGTACATTCTACCATGACAATAAAAAAAGTGCATGTGTATGAAATTAACATCAAAGAAGAGGTACCAGTGATATCTCATATTCATTCATTCATTCAACAAATATTTGGAGTACCTGACCTCCTTTAAATAAAATTCCTGTGTTTAGGAGCTTACAGTCCACTAAGGACAGAGAGACAACAAACAAAAAACAAATGAACAAGGTAACTCCAGATCATTCAATTTTTTTGAAAGCAAAGATCAAATAATATGACAGAGTAAGCAGGAGCTTCCAGTATACAGTCAGCATAAAAACTCTTCTGAATACCTAAGTTTGTATTGAGACCTGAAAGACATGAAACAGCCACGAGAAGAATTCTGGGAAGACGATCGCAGATGTGAATCCTGTGTAGAGAGAACAGCAAGGACAAAGGCCCTGAGACAGGAAGAAGCCTGACCCCAATTCAGTAAATAGAAAAGAGAGCACATAGGGACCAGCAGATGGCGTAATGGCTATGTTGTTGGAATTCCATGTAGCTAACCACAGTTCAAGTCCTGGATCCAGTGGATTAAACTCACGCCGGTGCATGTGCATGCGCATGCATGCCCAAGGTCCTGAGAGGAGAAGGAATTGAGGTATGGCCATCCACCATGAGGGGGTGATTTCTCACTTCCTGTCTCTCTTTTTTTTTTTTTTTGGAGAGGTTTTGGCTATAGGGCGCGTGCACTCACCACGAAAGACAGAGAGAAACAGAGAGACAGAAAGTGGGAAATCACCTCCCCTGGGGGGATGGCCACAATGTAATTCCTTCTCCATTCTCCTCTCGGGATCTTGGGCATGCATGCACACACGCTCGGCGTGAGTTTAAGCCACTGGGTCTGGGACTTGAACTGCGGTCAACTACATGGGAGTCCAGCGACATAGCCATTACGCCATCTGCTGGTCCCTGTTGCCAGTATCTTTCATATACTGGATGAGAATAGCACACATGGAGAGCTCTCAATGTTGACACCTTTGCTGCCATCTCTGATTGCTGAGTCTGAATGGGCACTGGACCTCCTGGGCACACAGATTGCAGATCCTGGGCGGTGGACGAGCGGGGCCCATTTTTCTTTAGAGAGATGAGGAATGGGAGTGGGGGAATATTACCTTTATATTTTAAAAATATCACTGTGAGGGCCAGACAGTGACACAGCAGTAAAACACATGTTCTGCAAAGCAATCCCACATGGGAAGTTTTCCAGTTCAAGTCTAGAGACTCCCAAGAGCACATCAGGAACAGGCTTGCCTGTGATCAGGGGCTGGCTGAAGCTAGGAATGTGTCACATCAGGACCTTGTTGGGGCGCTGTTTCTCTGTCTCTTCCTCTCTTGCTTATGGAAGAAATAAATTAATAAACTTAAAAATACGTATCACTGAGGCTGCTGGGTGGAGAACAGACTGTGGGGAGAACTAATGGTGGCCTGATAACTGTGAGAAGGGGCAGTGTAAGGGAGAAAGATGGAAGTCTTCTCTATATTCTGGATGGTTTCTGTTTGGAATTATAAAAATGTTCTGGAGACCAGATGGCATGGTGGTTAAGGCACTGGGATCCTGCATGGTTGGCTGTATGGTGTGAGTCCCAGACCAGGCAACTTGAAAAACATGCCAGCATGCGTGTGCATGCATGTCCAAAATCCTCAAAGGAGGAGATGAAGGAACTGTGGCATAGTCATACACTCTAGGGGTACTTTCTCACTCTCTTACTCTTTCTCTCCAGTGAGCACACATGCCTTATAGCCAAAAAGAAAAAAGTTCTGGAAATAGGTAGTTCTGATGGCTGCCCAACAATGTGACTATACCTGAAGACCACTGAATTGTTTATTTTAAATGGTTAAATAATACATTTTATGTATATTTTATGATAAAAATTAAAATGGGGGCAGCAGGTGGCATGGTGATTAAGGAGCTGGATCTTATATGACCGATGACACGATTTGAGTCCCAGACCTGGCTGCATAAAAAAACACGCTGGGCTTACACACATGTGTGTCCAGAATCCTGAGAGGAGAATGGAGAAGGGACTACAGTGTGGCCATCCCCCTTAGGGGATGATGTCTCACTTTTCCTCTCTCTCTCTCTGTCTCTTTCTGTTTCTCTGGTGCATGTATGTGCTCTATGGCAAACATTTTTTAAAAGTAAAAAATATATTAAAATGGGCCAGTCTGTGGTATGGTGGTTAAGGTGGCTGGGTCCCACATGGCCAACTGTCTAGTCTGAGTTACAGACCTGGCAGCTTGAGAAACGTGCCCCATGTGTGCCCACAAGCCCAAGAGGGAGAAGTAGAAAAGTAAGGACTGCAGTGTGACCATCCCCCATGGGGAGTGCTATCTCACTTTCTCTGTCTCTGGTGGGCACATGCAACCTCTGGTAAAATTTTTTAAATTAAAATTAATTTTTAGAAAGATATATTGTGAATATAGACCGAACAGGGCTTTCTGCTATGTTAGCTTTGGGAGAAGGGTGCATCAAGAATACATTTTCAGTTTAGAACTAAATGAATAATGTGTGATTTGTCACATAGCTCATCTCTGAAGTAAGTGAGATAAAAAACAAATGAACTTGTGATAGCTGAGGCCAAACTGATCGTATTCCAAGAATCCAAGAAAGATTAAATATTAGGAAAATCTATAAATATAATTCATTACATCAGCAATTTAAAGGGGGAAAAAATATGTGCACATCGCAGTGAAAGTACCAAGAAAGGTACTTGGCAATTTTTTTAGAGAGAGATTTTTGCTATAGGGTACATTCGCTTGCTGGAGAGATAGACAGAAAGCGAGAAATCACCCCCCACGGGGAATGGCCACACTGCAATCCTTTCTCCTCCATTCTCCTTTTGGGACACATACACACGCCCAGCCTTGAGTTTCAAGCCACCAGGTTCAGGACTCAAACTGCATTGTGCTACCAGACTGGGCAATGTAAGGGTTTTTAAGAGAACAACTCCTATAACATAACAACTCCGTAACAACTCCTCTTCTCACCCCCCAAAACACACATCTATGTTTTCAGGTTCTTAGTCTAGAAGACAATTGCAGGTTCCACTTTCCCTAAACTGAGAGCACACTGATGACACCATGTTCTGAATTTCCCGAAAAGCATCACTACATAGAACATAATTATACACTGCCTATATAAACCATACTTCATACTATTTTTTTTTTTTTTAGACAAGGTCTTGTTATGTCATGATCCCCCTGCCACAGCCTCCCAGGGAAACTACTGCACCCAGGTTTTAAGAGTGGGTGGGAAACAAACCTGCACCTTTCATGGACCCTTATTTGCCAAGTAGCAACATCAACCGCACACTATCACAGCTGGGCCCATATTTCATGTGTGTGTGTGTGTTTGTGTATTAGGGCGTTGGAGAAGTCATGGCATACTTTCCAATGTTTTCAGTGCAAAAATGTGTCATAACTTTCCCAACCATGTACATACATACATTATATATGTGTGTATGTGTAATTTTTGTTTTAGGTTTTTGCCACAGGGCACATATGCTCACCAGAGAGAAACAGAAAGTGAGAAATCACCTTTATTTCACATTTTAAAAATGTCCTTCTATAGCACTCAGCTATAGCTGTGAGCTGGTACATGGTAGATAATGAATAAATTATTAGGCCAGGAGATAGTGTGGTGGTTAAGGTAGCTAGATCCCACATAGCTGACTGCACAGTTCAAGCCCCAGACCCAGTGGCTTGAAAAACATAGGGGCAGTGTGTGTAAAATCCCAAGAGGAGAACAGAGAAGGGATTATAGCATGACTATCTTCTGTGTATGTGTGAGGGGATGCTTTCTCACTTCCCCCTGCCATACTCTCTCTTTCCAGTAAGCATACACATCCCATAGCAAAATTAAATAAAATTAATAAATAGCTACTGATATTCAAACCATAAATCTCAATCAGTTACCTCACAAGCCTAAGATCTGATGTTTGAGGTTTTGGCTATATCTCTACTATGGAGGAATTTTCAGCCAAGTAAAGCTGAGAGTTATAAACAATTCATAGTAATTACATACACAATTAAGTATGCAATAAAAATTGAGAAGTATAATAAATACATAATACAAAATGATAAGAATGATTGAAGAACTTTAAAGTTTAAAGAAATTTTGAGCACTGGCTTCATGGCTACTAGTTAAGGCAGTCAAACCTGACTGCACTTGAAGCAAACTTTCAAAATGCCTGGTTAGTAGTTTTAAATCCCGTTGCACCCCATTAAAATCACCTTTCCACTATGAGTTTGGTTAGAATGGGCTCTTCATATTGAGTGGCATCTTCATTCTGCTGCACAGTTTTGAAATCTCTTTTGGATCCGATTTCAGTGAGCTGCATTTCCGCTGGTGGAATACCACTTGAGGACGTTTCTTGCTTAGCGGTGTTGCCATCTTGCTTGGAAAACTCTGGGTAATCAGTGAGAGATGAGGGAGAGCGAGCAGACTTATCTCCTTTTTTGTCTGCTCTTTTCTTTTCTTTCACCATTGCCTTTGGAAGACCTAAAGTTTACTTTCTATATGTAAGTATGAAATGATTCCTTGGATCGAGAGCTGTCTATTTCAAAGCACTGATGAGTTTTATCTGAAAAAATAAAAATTATGTCTCTAAATACTTGGGGTCCTCACTTGTTAAAATTTTGTTTTTATGACATGATGTTATTATCATCCTCCTCCTAGGCCTAAAATCTAATCATAAGTATCAGTTTATAAAAATAATAGGTGGTGTGATAGTTTAAGGTACTGGACTCCCACATGGCCGACCGCAGCTCAAGTCCTGGACTTGGTGACTTGAAAATCACACCAGGTATGTCTGCATGCATACCCAGACTCTGGAGAGAATTGCTTAATGACCATCCCTCCTGGGGAGTGATTTCTCACTTTCCTGTTGTCTCACTCTGGTGAGTGCATGCTCTTTATGGCAAAAAACTTAAAAAAATAAAATCTCAATTGCAGACTGCTTGTTCCTAAAATGTTTAAAATCAAAACCGTTGTTTGTTCCTAAAATGTTTAAAATCAAAACCATTGTCTAATGTTATTTCTTTTCAAATAGTGTTGCAGTAAGAAGAGAAGTCCTATATATGCAAAATGGTAACTTAACCTTAAAGGTTTTGGACGCTGTCAATTCATATTTTAAAAGTCCCTCTTTCAGTATGTCTGTATTGGAAAGTGCCAAAGAGGTGCATTTAGACTCCTGCATTGCACATTACCAGCTCCATTCTTAAGCAAGTTGCTTAATCTCTTTTGCCTCAGATATCAAACAGGAATAATCGTAACTTGTCTCATTTTAAGAGTTAAACGAGATGATGCTCAGAGAAATCCCAAAAATAGGGACCAGCAGGTGATGTGATGGTTAAGGCATTGGTATTCCCACATGGCCGACCACAGTTTGAGTCCTGGACCTGGCGGCTTTCTTTCTCACTCTTCCTCTCTTTCTCTGGCAAAATTCATGTGAAAATAATAAATAAATAAATAAAATAATTCTTAAGAAAAAGAAAAATCTCTAAAGCATAGGATACAGAGCACAGTTAATAAATGGATTGGTTATCTCTTCACTTTTCTGCTTTCAAATGAAGTCATTAGCTGCTTGTTCCCTCTAATACTGCTATTGATTACTTCTTATATACCAGACAAGGAAGGATGTGCTAATAATTTGTTCAAGTTCACAGAGCTGTAGGGCAGAGCTCCAAAGCTGTAGTTTTCATGGTTCTCCAAAATTAGCCCCACTGAAAGCATCCTAGTACCTTAAGCAGGGTACACAGACAAGTCCTGGGGTGCAAGGTAAGGTCTAGTGCCTCTTCCTGTCTGAGGGCTGGAGTGGGTACCCCTTGCCCTTCTTTGCCTAGATGGCATCAGTGGATGCCCCGCCTCCCAGCTCAACCCCATCTCTAGACCACTTTTGCCAGTACAGTCCTGCCTCTCTCTTCCTGCTCTTTCCAGCCCCCTGGGTAATCTAGCTCAAACTGCTGTCACCTCGAACCTCGGACAGGGCTTTGCTATAGGGCTTCTGGTCCTCTACCAATAATTTAAACTATTAATACAGATTAAATAAAGTTTCATTTCTCAAGGAATGTTCTCCTCCCTCCACCCCCGTTTTCCCAAGATTAAGAAACTGCATCATTTCGTAGCTACATTTACTATCAACACCTGCATTTTGGCTTTTAGCTCTCAGCACTGTCTTGCCCTGCCCAGCCTAGGATCCTCCTCGTCCACCACGCACGTGTTCAGATCATGAGATGAGGGTGAAACCGGCCCTACTTGTCCCATTTGTTGCGCCACCCAGCAGGACTGCGTCCTGGGGTCCCCACCTCGACCTCCTTCCGGATGCCCAGGGGTCTCTCTGCCAGGCCAGGCCAGGCCAGCCAGGGCGTCCTAGACCCAGCTCTGGTCTCCAGGCAACTGCTAATCCGCAGGCCCCTCCCACTCACTCTCTTAAAGGGGCCGCAATGCCGTGCCTACCACTGCAGTAGAGCATCTGGCCCTAGTTTTCCCAGCTCTGCTAACTGCTAGTACCTTTCTTCCGGATGCCCAGGGGTCTCTCTGCCAGGCCAGGCCAGGCCAGCCAGGGCGTCCTAGACCCAGCTCTGGTCTCCAGGCAACTGCTAATCCGCAGGCCCCTCCCACTCACTCTCTTAAAGGGGCCGCAATGCCGTGCCTACCACTGCAGTAGAGCATCTGGCCCTAGTTTTCCCAGCTCTGCTAACTGCTAGTACCTTTCTTTGCTTTTTTTTTAGGAAACTTCGGGCACTGGTTTTTCATACAGATTACCACAAATTTAGTGGCTAGAAGCAACATATATTTATTATCCTACAATGCTGTAGATAGTTTCACAGAGCTGGTTCCTTCTGGATGCCCCACGGGAGAATACATTTCCTTACCTTTTCCAGTGTCAGAAGCTGCCAGCATGGCTGACCCAGTGGTGCCTTCCTCCATCTTCAAAATTGGCAGCTGCATCTCTCTAGCCAGCTGGGAAAGGACTTCCACTCTGAAGAACTCACATGAAAAATGGCCCACCAAACAATCCAGGACAATCGCTCCAATGCAAGTCCTTAATGTAATCCTATCTGCAGAGGCCCTTCTGCCATGGAAGGTAACACAGTCACAGGTTCTAGAGACTAGGACACAGCCATCTTTGAGAGACCATTATCCTGCCAATACAACTCCCAACTACAGAGCTCTTAGGAATATTAAATGAGATCCTGCAGACCTAGTGCTTGACACAATAAGTGGCAATAAATATTACTTCACTGTCACGTCACATCTAAAGAATTCTAAACTTAGAACAGTGACTCCCCTCACAGGAGAGGGTCTGGAGAAAGAGGTGAGCAGGAGGGTAGCCCACACTCATCATCACAGCACTCCAGCACCAGGTGCTCTTTTTTTTTTTTTTTTTTTTTTTTTTTGAGAGATTTTCACTGTAGGGCGCGTGCGCTCGCCAGACAGAGAGAGACAGAGAGACAGAAAGCAAGAAATCACCCCCCAGGGGGGATGGTCACACCGCAATCCCTTCTCCTCCATTCTCCTCTCGGGATCTTGGGCACGCACGCACACGCGCCCGGTGTGAGTTTTAAGCCACTGGGTCCGGGACACGAACCGCAGTCAACTACGTGCGAGTCCAGCGACATAGCCATTATGCTAACTGCTGGTTCCCGAGCACCATGTGCTCTTTAAAAGGCATTTTTAGGTCCATTTTTGGCACAGTTCAAATGGGACAAGATTCCATGAAAACTATTGGGTCATCGGAAAAGTCATGACACATTTTCACATAAAAACAGAGATATCTGACAGGTTGGACAGAGACTGATTCTTGTATCCACAGGACCATTCAAGGCCAGTGACTAGAATGTCCTACAGTTCAGACCTTGAGGAAACCAAACCACAGCATAAGTACAGAAAATCAAAATCTTTTCTTTGCCCTTCCTAGAACAGTGCTTTCCTATCCTGCCCAACTGGGGAACATGGAAATCAGTGAACCAATTCCCATCCAGTTAGGCAGAGAATCCCTCTGGAGATTTTTGGATTATTCCTTTTTTAATGTTTGTTTTAAAGAGATTTATTTATTTATTTATTTGTTATTCACATAAATTTTGCCAGAGAAAGACAGAGAGTGAGAGAGGGAGAGTTGGAAAGTAAGCAGCCAGGTCTGGAAACTGAACCACCTTAACCACCTTGACACCTGCTGGTCCCAAATCCTTTTTAAAAACTTCATGTGTGTTGGTTTTGAGAATCACTAACCCAATAAGACCATAATTAAAAATTTATATAATTTATATAATTAAACCAATATGCATTTAATTACCATTAAGAGCCCAAACTTGCAGAATAAAATACATCAGCCAAAGTAGAAGTCTCTGCTCTTATTTGTGTAAAACATGTTCTTATCTGTACATACACACACACATATTCAAATGCTGAACAAAATATGCTGTAAGCAACATTTCACATGTTTGACAAGGTTCTCAAGATCATTTTGAAATGGACCTGGTAACTTATTATCATTTTTCTTTTATTTTGGTCAGAAAGTGTGTGCATTTGCCAGAGAAAGAGAAGGAGAGGGAGAAAGCATCTCAATGGGGTTTGGTCACACCATAGTCCCTTCTCCATTTTTCCATCCTGTTGGGAATTTGGACATGCACCCAGTGTGGGATCTGATACACTGTTTTTAAATAGCGGATTAATTTTGAAACAAAAGTTAGTTAAGATCTGTCTTTCAAAACCAAAAAATCTACAATAAAAGCTGTCATTTTATGCAGCGGGAAGTGTCAGTTTTGAGAAATGATATCCAGATTGGCAATGTGTCTCATGGTTGGCCTTCCATGGGGACAGTTCCAGGGGTGGTCCATCTCACCCATGTGAGTGATGAGTTTCTTCATCTCATTTGTGTTAAGAGCAGTTCCGATCATCACCTGCATATAAGACACAATGGTTTAAAAGTTTTACTGTTTGTTTTTGTGTGTGTGTGTTGTTGCTGTTAGAATACAACTCTTCAGAAGCACTTTTCTCTAACATAAGACTGGACAAGATTACAATTCGAAATCAGTGTTTCTAAAAACCTTCCCCTAAAGAACCCTGCCTTCTGTCACCTCAACCCTCCACCTTCATGTACAATCTAGGACCTCCCTGGCTCCTTTATGGTGGCACCACCTCTACTCAAGACAATGGCTATACCAGGCCAGAATCCAACCACTCTCAGCATCTCCACCACAACTTCTGCTCCCCACCTCCACCCCGGACCTCTCACTCTGGTAACTGCAGCTGCCTCCTGACAGGCCTCCCTGCTCCTACTAGTCCCTCAAAGGGCCTTCTCCACTTGGCACCCAGTGGTTATTTTGAAGGTATGTCAGTCTAATCACTCTCATTCACAGCTCTACTCACTCAACTCAGAGACTGAGTCTATCACCTAGGCTGGCTCTCTGGGCCCCACTCTAAGCATGCGTCCTTCTCCCACGTTCCCACCACACTGGCACCCCCTTCCTCTTGTGCAAGTTTGTAAAGCAAGCACCTGCCCAAGGACCAAGGGAATAGCTAACTCCCCTGCCCAGGGTACTCTTTCCTCAAATAATCGCATATGTTGCCTCCCCTTCCCTTCAGGATTGCACTCACATCCCATGTCTCTCCATCTCCAGCCCTGCCCTACTTTCTCCCTACATCATGGAACACTCTCTGGCATGGAGGTGGAGGAGAGCACAACCTATGGTCAGCACAGAGACACTGAGGCCTGAGAAACATGGAGAGATGGTGAGAGGTGGCCAGCCTGAAACTGTCACCTCTTTTTCCCTACCGCCCACTGAGGGCCCATCATGTGCCAAGCCTAGTCCAGAGGTGGGATATACAGCAGAGCTATTCTCGTTGGAGGAAGAGAGACAATAAGCAAGTTAACAGAGAAACTAAACAAGTGCAATGCCCCAGGCTGGGACTGTGAGCCTGACAGAGGCTACTTTAGTCAGCTGCTCAGGGAGGGCCTGCATATAGGAGGACGCCAGGTGTGTGATGAACTAAGTGGTGAATCCAGGCTGAGGGAGCAGCAAGAGCTAGAGGTGAGAAGGACACTGAAACAACTGCACATTTGGAGGGTCAGAGTGCAGAGCACAGGAAACAGGGCTAGGAGGTCAGGCAGGGCTCAGGGCAGGGGGTGACAATGGAGAGCCCACCAGGGTCACCACTGAAGATGGAGGAAGAAGAGCTGTAGCAGGACATGTCTACCAGGGCAGGAACAAAGGTACAACCTGGGACTTCACAGGTCTTTGAGTTACATGAAGATATAGAATGCTAAAGTGCCTGGCAACCAGCACAGGCCAGTCCCAGTTCACTTAAGACTCCAGGGTTGGGGCCAGCAGGTGGCATGGTGGTTAAGGTGCTGGACACTCCCACATGGCTGACCATGGTTTGAGTCCTCAACCTGGTGGCTTGCTTTTCCACTTTCTCTCCCTCTCTGTGTCTCTATGAAATCAAAATAAATGAATGAATAAATGAAAAATTAAATAATTATGAAAAAAAAAAAGACTCCAGGGTTAAAAGGTCAGTCAGTATTACATCTTTATCCAAGAAATAGCCATGCTGGAAGCCAGAATCTTAGCCCTTTTATTTTTCTTATTTTTTTTGGAGAGGTTTTTGCCATAGAGGGCGTGCACTCGCCAGAAAGACAGACAGAGACAGAGACAGAAAGCAAGAAATCACCCACT